AGTACTACAATTTTGACCCAAGGAGCAGTGCCCTCCCTCCCATGGCTGGGGAGATATAACCTTTGGTGTCAATACCCTGATTTTCATGGTCGCCCTTCAAACACCCATTTTTTGGATACACAGGGGGATGCGGAAAAAAATTGGCATATATTTGGAACATACTCGATCCCAGCTACACCATAGAAAAAAAATAAATCAATTTTGGCTACTGTCAATAAAGTGTAGTTAAGCCTTTTCAATTGTCAAATTAGGACTCGTAGGACCAAAACACATCAATTTAACTTTCTGCATCATTAGTTTTATGAATTTTAATTTTTTCAAGCTTTTATAGTGATTTGACACTATTGACTCTTTTCCGATTTTCTCGACAAATACGCAATTTTTCAAAAATCCAAGTTTGAGGTCTTTCTCTATTTATCGTGGCACAAAACATATATTAAAATGATTCAAAAACAAAAAATTATGCATCAAAGGGTTAAAAAGGCTATCTTTGCACATTTTTTTCTTTTTTTTCATCATATTTCAATATAAACAAACATAACTTTTTCGATTTTTGTCTTTTAAATTTTTTCGCCCGGATTTCACAGAAATTCGCCCGGAATCGCCGGGTCCGGATCACTATGAGAAAAAAACTGGAAGGCTTAGTCTAATTATTTTAATAATTACTTTCGACTTACTTTTTACTTGAACCATTTAAATTGGTTCTGACAATTTTACTGGGTAGAAAATCGTTCTTTGTCCAGTATAAAAAAACCATTATTGTGACATATCAAAATTTCTTTTAATAGACAATAGAAAGAAAGTAAAATTTAAAGTAAGAATTTCAATAAATTAGTATTGTAATTCATAAATAATTTGTTATTTGTAACCCAAATATTTTAATCGAGCTAGCGAGTGTACTTGTATCCTTGGAAACTAACTAAATAAAATAAGTTTTTACATTTATTTACATAAAATGATTTTGTTAACTGTTTTTATATCGTCTTTTTCATTCGTTCTTTATCCGTTTAAATTTTAATAAGTTATATGAGGTATGATGCTCGATTTACATCTCTATTTTGTTTTATTGATTTTAGGTTGGTTTTCCGAATTGTTTTAAACAAAGAAACATTACAGGCCTAATGTTGCGTTAATTTAGGATCTAAATCTATACCTAAGCTAAATTCAAATTTCAATACCAATTATAACCAATTTGAATAAAATTTGTTCTCTCTGTTTATTTCGATTAATCTCGTCCAATTCTTTTATGTATTTGTTGGTGTTTAATTAGATGAGCTTTTTGCCGGAACGCTTTGGCGCACACTTCACATCGGAAAGGCTTTTCTCCAGTATGAGTTCTGAATAATTGCATAATTTTTAATAATTTAATTTATGTTTTTGATGATTCGGACAAATATTTTTTTTATTATTCAAAATCGAAATGTGACGTACCGCAAGTGAACTTTTATGTTACTTTTATTCAGAAACCCTCGATTACAAATGTTACACCGATGCACTGGTTTCTCTTTACCCAATAAATCATTCATATCGTTTGTGGTGGGAAAACTTAAACTGCTACCGATGGGTTCACTCTGAGGTTGTTGTTGCTGCTGCGGCTGAATCGTATTTAGAAATGTTTAACAAACAAATCCATTAATGTAGCTAACTAATAATTGGTAAATGTGACTAATAGAATTATTGAAAATCACCTGTTGCTGTATTTGTTTCATACGTCGTTTAACTTTTGAGGTATTCTGAATGCTGTTGAACCATTCACCCTGTTGCTGCTGCTAAGGGATTTAATATTGTAAATATAATGGAATTTATCAAAGTCGCTTTTCATAAAAATTATTCATACCAGAAACTAATGTTAATATTGACATGGCATAAAAAGAGATGAGACCTTTGCACAGAATAAATGTATGTATAAAATATGAATCATTTTTAAAATCAGGGTTTCATATTTTCTTTGTTTTTCAAAAAAATTGTATTAACGTTATTTTAATGCCATATTTAGTTTTTAAATGGTAATCTTAACGGTGCGCTGTCAGAATTTCCAAGATTTTTCTATTGGTATTTCTGGTAATATACGAAATTCACAGATATCCGTGGATTTCATAGTATTTGATATATGTATATATAAAAGTGCATTAAAGAGAGCAACTATTTAAATTTATTATTAAACCAATTAATCAAGCAAATGAGTATTTTTATTTATATCAAAGGCGCTTACTTGTGCTTGATGTGGATGTATAGAAGAAGCCATGCATCGGCTCCCTCCGTTAGTTATCAAGCTATCGGTGGTAGAGACAACAGAGTCAGGAGGACTGTTTGTGGTTGTGATTGAGTCGCTACCATATGAAGTGGATGATGGTGTTTCATTTTTTAGAGGTGGGCCGTTCTGCAAGCGACTTTGAAGCAACGGCATATAGTTATTTGTAAGTAGATTTTGCAGTGTTGATGTTGGTGGCTCACTTGATGTAAGTACCGGAGAATTTGGTAAAATAAATTCATTGAGGGATTCCTGTTGTGATACATTCGTTACACAATTTCCGTCGATCCATGCATCGAGATCCATCCAAGAATCTCGACTGTCTGTGCCGTCCCGTTCTTCCGTTTGATTTGGTACCGTTGTATCAGCAATAGCTGAACCAATGATCGCTGCAATGTCATCAATGGATGACATATCCACGAATTCTACTGTTTGTTCTTTTGATTCAGCATAAATTCGAATACTTGACATTGAATCCGGGCATGGAATTGTCATTGCACAACTATCAGCCATTGACGAGCACATTTTGTTATCAATTCCACTCTCAGAAAATAGTTTTACATCTTGATAGCACGACGTGTTATTATCATTTGTAGTTTCTGGATATAATGCACTGTCTGGCAAGCATGTGGACGATGATACTATATTTTGTTCTTCAAGTATACGTCCAATGCCAACTGGATCTTCAATTCCAACAATGGATTTCGCCGACAATGGGCGACTTGTAAACGATGATGCTTGGTTTAGATTTGTCGTCTAAAATTAGTTGAGATGGAGATAATTGAAATTATATATGCCAGCATCCTGATATTGATCAGAACAATATTGTTTTAAAGTACAAATCAGAAGTTCAGTCTGAACTGTTCAGAACAAATATTGTTGAATTTTTTAAGATGAAATAAATTTTTTATTGATCTCTGTTCGGATAATAGGATGTTGTTATACATACCAAAAAATTGTTATTTTCTTCGGACGAAATGTGACGATGTGCAATTGCATGATAATGATGTCCTGATATACCATTTATCGATAAGTGGCCAGTGTAACCAGTGAACGGTGGCAATGGTTTTAATTCAGCTAACTCAGTGTTCAACGATTGATTGCTTAATATCAAACTATCGAAAACGTCAACACCACCCTTTTCTGCATCAGAATCATATTGCAGGGAATCCATTTCGATTTCATGCTCTTCAAGCATCAATTTATGATCATCCAATAAAAATTGTTCCGGTTGGCACACCGATCGATTGGAGCTGATTGTTGGCCAACACGAGCCTAATAGGTTGTTTACGTGTGTGTCAGTTTTCTGTGTGCTCATATTTGATGCTGATAAACTATAAAGCTTCATTTTCAAATGTTCATTGTTCCTTTTAATTTATTTGTATAATATCAATATGCTTCCCCTTTCTAGCTCTATTGATCATCAGTGGTATTTAGTTTTTCTGATTTGAAGCAGGTACTTTTTGCATGAGAGTATAAAACTGTATAAAATGTGTATTGTTTCAAATTTAATTCTAGAGAGGGAAAAGCAAGATTCCTAGAAAAGTGCATAGAAGATGATGACATCAATTCCCTGTAATTGCAAAAAAAGAAGAAAACATTATACCTTCATAAATGTTTATCATTTGATAGATAGGAAATAAACCAAATGCATTTAATAAAATGGTCATGGTGTTGTTTTTTTTTAAATAGATGAGCGCCTAAATTCCCTCTACTTTTCAAGTATTTTATATTGCTAAAGAACTGGGCCATTCATTCGAAATGAAAAAAAGACTCAATCTCGTACTCACATTCGGAGACGCCTTTTGACTTCAAACATGCTGAACACAGTGTATAGAAGAAAAGTTTCACTTTTTTGTTTTTTATGTTATTTTCTTTTGTGTCCTATATAATCACTTTCTTTTGCCGTTAACATGCTAAAAAAATTACACATTCTTGAATCTTGTTTTATTTTCTGCTACTCTGACTTTACAGCGCTGCTATCATTATTTAATTTTCCACGCATATAAGCATCGTTTCTGGTTTTCTTTTCAGTGCAGCTATTTTTATTTGTGCTGTTTCTTCTTCTGCCATTCCCATCTTTCCATTTACTTGTCTTAACTTCACATATAAAAGCCTCGCCCGTACTCGGCGACATGATATTTGTATGCTGAAGAAATATGAGACTCTATATGTAGTATAAGTATGTATCGTTTATATCGAAGTTATTCTTTAAAAAAAAAGCCAGTTGTATAAAATAAGAGCAATGTTCAAACTTTTAGATGGGCTATAAACCAAAATAAAAGCCGAAACAACGATATTAAGAAGAAAAACATGGATGAAATGGTGTAGAAAGACGAAGATAACCGTTGAATTGACCTAAATATTCCTTGTATTTCTGACGCTACGTCCCATATATGAATGAATACAATGTTATGTGTTAATTCTACGACATAGTACCACATGCAAAATGCAAACTTATTAAACGTATTGGAACTATGTAAAATTACGTTTATGTGAGCGTCCACGCGTCGATGTCTTTTGATCATAAAATTCTAGTGTACATATATAAATAAAATTATTACACTTTTCTTGTGTTCCGTTCAGTTAAATCAATACTATTATACTATTACATTTATCGCTTCCACTTCATCTCCCGCATTTCTTTCTCAACCTATCGATGCAAATATATTTTGTCTAGCTCTCATTTTTCATAGTAGCCAAATTTTGCATTTCATATACGAGCTATACAGTGTAAGATCCGTTATTTGCAAATGATTCACGTCCATACTATATTGGTATGACTATTGTTTCCAATTTTTTTTACTATTAACAATAATTGTTGTTGTGTTAGTCATTCCGGTCATTTCACATGTGCGAATGCTTACGCACAAAATATTTTCATTTTATTAGTTTTAGTGGAACTTTATTTCGTTCGTGCATTGATACTGCTGAACGAATTCGACTGGTGACATTTAGATCATTCGGATATTCAACTTAATATTCTCTTTTTCTTTTTGTACATTTGGTATATCTCTTTGGATCAAAAAAATATTCAACATCAAAATTGAAACGGGAAAAATGCATAAAATTGAACCCTGGTAATGAGCAAATAGTTTTGAAATAAATTTTTCAACATTTCTAAATCAATATTCTCTTTTTTTTTTTTTTTTTTTTTATTTATTGTGCAAAATTTAATTGAAAAATGAACAGGCCCTGGCCCAATTATACATTGTCCATTGGATTCGTTTGTTGTGCTATAGTTTTGTTTTAATTGAGAGCTATCAGTAAAAAAAAATTTAATTTTAATTATACTACTAAGTAAATAGAATAAAGAGAAAATGAAATAATAATAAATTAGGAGATGGAAAAGGATAATAATAATATTGAAAATATTGCATTAAAAAAGGAACTTTAAGGTACTGATAATGCATTGGAAACCTGACGTTTAAAACTTGATATAGAGGGATTCAATAGGCTAATATTCATGAAATATGTGTTGTGTTGTTGTTGCATTCTATTGATAGTACAGAATTTTTGTATGTTGGTAGTGGCATGGGGTAAATAGAATGCGGGAGTGAAACGCGTGAATCTGACAGGTATGTGGATATTAATATCGTCATTTTTTCTAAAGTCATAGAAAGTCAAATAAAAACAATTCAATTAAATGTGAGAACAACCAATGTATTTTTATTGGTTGCCAAAATGTAATTATAAACAGCCGAGGAGAATTGTTTCTAAACAATAAATTTCGAAATTTCAATAAGATCGGAAAATATATATGAACTTCTGGATTTGAGACAAAATATAGAAAAAATATGATAAATATCTAAATTTCTAATTGTATGAGAAAAATATGTGGTGCGAATTTGTTCGATTCATGTATATTCATCATCTTGGTCGCAGTGATCACAAAATCAAGAGAATGAGGTGTACCACTACTGAGAAGATGAAAAGCAAATATAATAAAGAATATTGTTAATTCATGGTACGACAGCCACGCGAGCCGAAAAGACTCGGAATGTTTGCATGCATACAAAAACTTGTATTTGTGGCTTTTCTGCTTCTCAAATGTGTTTTTTTCTTTCATGTTTCATTTCTCTGCTTCTTAAGTTGTACACTTTTTCATTTCAATCTTTCTTCTTTCTTCTTTCTCATTTTTAATTTTATTTGTAAAGCCGACCGAACAAACTCGTTGATTCGAGTGCACAAGAAAACACGAAAGAAAAATGAAATAAATAGCAATGCCAGCGTAGCAGATACACACAAAAAGTATATAGAAAAACAAGGAAGTATGTTACTAGGTCGCGTGTAACGGTAAATTTTTTTGTTCCTCTTTTATGTCTTTTTTGCTACGCTACGAATTAACAACGAACGAAAATTAACTCTTTTTCTCTTCTCTTTTCTGTTTCATCAAGCCAACGGCGCGCAAGGTTCTCGCAAACAGCTATGTTAGATTTACCAGTGCGCACACACAACCGCATTGCTCATCAAGTATCCAGTACCTCATATACTCAACACATTTCTCTACACGAAATTGCTTCACTACGTTGCATTGCAAACACCATAAATATCAGAAGAGGTTGATTTAAAAAAAATATACGCATTGTATTTGTTTGCATACATGCGCATCATATTTTTATATTTAAATATCAGTTTTCATTTCTATTCATATGTATCCATTCCGACTTGATTTTGTTTATTCAACGATCATTTTTTAACGAGTATGAACGCTGTTGCATGTATTCAAACGCGTAGTGCGTTTAAAAAAGGAAGAAAATCTTATGAGATGGAATGAAAACAAGAAGATCAGTGATGTTAGAAGACAGTCATGTCATTATTGACAATCTACACTTAATTTGCACATTTCATATGCAGTAGGCATGTATGTATTTATCACATTTTAATAGCGAATTATAACTGACCGTTGTTATGTTAAAATAACTGTTATTTATATTTGCTTCTTTTTATTAAAATCAAATCTATATTTGATTAAATTGGAATTTACACAAAATAGGTAGAAAATCAGAAATAATATGAATAAATGAAAAAAAAACAAATAAAGCAAGAGTGTTTTTCACTGTTTAAAGTATTCACTTCCAATATTTCTTTATATGGAAATGGAGACTATGAATAGTGGTTCTATTTGTGAAGTCTGGCGATATCATTTGTAGAAACGTATATATTTATTTATCATCACCACCAAGCGTTGGCTGAATCATTTTCCTTTTTTTTAGGGAAAAATGAAGCCATATGGATTTAAAAAAGAAACCTAATGTTTTTTGACTTCAGAGATTTGGGTATGATTGTTTAAATTTAAGAACCGAACCGAAATTTTTCAAAAATATTACCGATATTTTAACGTTTTGACAAGTGGTTTGAGGCTCAGAATTGATAATCTCCCTCTTCGGGTTCTCTTTTAAACGCATACAAGTGCTATTTTTGTAAATACTGCCACAATGACCGGAGCACAGAACACTAAATGGTATCCGAGTGCACCCAATATAATATATTTTTTTGACAGTGCATGAAAACAAACTTTCCCTTATTATTGAATGAATAGATATAATGTTTTTTTTAAATATTTATTCTTTTTTCGCAAATGCCTCCATTCGAAACACAAACAAGAAACATACTTTTCTTTTGGTCTAGTATCAATTGAATACGGTTTTTTTCGAAATTTAGTCGCATTATCTCAGAAAAACGCTAAACCATGAATTTTATATTAAATTTGATTTGCGTCGATTTCTATGTTTTACTTTTTGTTCATCGTAAAATATTCACAATATTTTGGTTACCCTCAGGATAAAATGAAAATGTTTGCGTAGTTTTTATGTGGACCACATTGCTCATCCTCTTCCAATTTTTATTTAGTTTCCAAGTATTTTTTTTTCAATTGTGCAATTTACATGCAATGGAAATAATGAGATTCAAGCCACTTTCCAATTTTATAGATTTGAATAAAATTGAAACTGCTTTATTTTATGCTTGTTGTTTCCTTCTATTTTCATTTCTTCATCTGTATGTGTTTTTTACTTCTTTCTATTCGCTTTAATGCTTCAGTATATATGCTTACACTAGTATATGAAAACACAAGTTTAAACTTAATCTCGTGTACCACACATATAAATCCAAGTTGAAAAAAATAACCTGTACGATAGAAATTCTTGACATTATACATTATACGACCTGAAAATTGTTAATTTTCCTTTCTACGGGTTGATTTTGAGTTTGGCTTTGGCTTAGGCGTAGTGTGAATTGGGTCCTAACTTTATATCAAATTTCAATAACACTCATTTATGAAAATTATAACCATTTGTAAAGAAACTGTGTAAGTGTTAAATTTACTACCGTTTTTAAACATTACTTAGTTTCAACATACTTAGTATTTACATTATTTCTGAATGATTCTCGCAGCCTAACGTCAAAATAATGGGTTTGAGCTCATTAAATAGTCATTTAAAATATTTTTGTGAGACTCATGAGCAAAATCGCACTAATCGTTGACCTCTTAATGACGATTATCCGGAAGAAGAGGTTATTATACGATAGAAATGTCACATGAATACAAGGGCTGGCCTATTTTCATTTTGATCATCTTTTGTGCATTTATTCATTACGGAATTTCAAATGACAAAAACAGGCATTTTTACCTGATCATCTTCAAATTATCAAACGAAGGAAATAAAGATGTTAAAAGAACATAGCTATATTAAAGCTGTAAATTAGCAATGACGACTCTACTGTCCAGTGTATACTAATAGGTTCCATGAATACAGTACAACAAGGAGAGAAATTGAAATGCAAGAAGAAAGAAAGAGCATAGAAAGACGAAAAAAAGAAGAGACACTAAACAATTTAAAGATTAATTTCAATGACACACTTTTATGGCAGTCGATGAGGTTTCAAATGGACAAAAACTGCGTTGCAATGAACGACAACAAGAGATCAATAAATAGACAATTAAATTGAATTTTCGTTTTCCATAACAATATATAGGTCACCGTATTGATGAAGTCTTGCATTGGTAACTTGGCATAGTTACCGATTATAATTCAGTTAATTCTATAAATCTGTGTTTTAATAGAATTCTTGTAATTTTTTGACCAAATATTTCTTATACATATTGATTGAGTTTTTGTTTTTGATATCTGAACCACTTTTTCTTTTTTGTATCCTCACATTGTTCATTGATCATGAAGTTTCGAAAATTATACGGAAGAATTGTTTTAAAACTACGTGTTTCTGTTAAATGTAATATATTGAAATCTATGATCGATTTTGAAAAACTCCTATGATTCTTGGCATGTTTTTTTGATTTCATTCCGAAAATTTCAACTTTTAATTTTACATTTGTTTACGAAATGATTGATCACGTTTAATATTTTATTGTGATACGGCCTGAAAATTTTGTATCATAGTGAACGTATATATTTGCTAGTAGCCACTGTGCTAGAACGGAACATTTAGCATGAACAAAAAAATTGAAGTTTTTGTAAAACTGCAAGCCCCTAGAAGAACCGAATTATGCTTTTACATTTTGGCATACAGGTAATTGGATAGTATCCGTGCTTTACTGAAAAAAGTATAAGCAACTGTGTTGTAAAAATACGGCTGAACAAAAAAAGTAGAAACGCACATCGAATGGTTTTTCAATCAGAAGTAATTGTAGCGAACTCTTTTGAAAATTACATATAAGCGTATCGATGCCACGTGCAATATAAATTTGCACACTATTTCTAACAATATCATTATTTTATTGAGAAATGTGAAAAAATTTCTACGTTTTAATTGCTTTTAGAAAATTTGTTAATTTACAATACCATTCTTCCTGTTTGATTTTCATATATTTTTTTGGATGATCACTGTAACTGTTGGTTATTTATATTGAATACAATTATTTTATTTCTTAAACATACTTAGTATCAATGATAGAATGAATAGCATTCTTTATTTGTTAATAAAGTGGCGTTTGAAATTTGCGAAAAAAAACGTTTTATTAAAATTATTTTGTATTAAATTTCTAACTTACACGAATGTTTCTAAGTTTTTGAATCCAAACTTGATCTTAACTATCCGAAAACATCCACAGATCATGAACCACAAAATCAATGAATGGCTACATCCATTTCGGATGAACAGCTTCAAATCCAACGGAAAGATTGGTCTCCTTTCCAATTTATTGCTTTAATGAGTTTTCTTGTTCAAAGAGATTTTCTCCTCCACTTGATAGTCACGTTAGAATATCTGAACACGGATCTTTTCACATTGGTTGCATTATGAAAAACCACTATGTCTTTTGTGCCCCAAAAGACCACTGAATGTCCGCTCTGTGTATATTGATCTTTATTGCAGTTTCCAAAGTAATATATTAATTCAACGTTAATGTGAATAAATCATTGCACAGACGTAATATCTCATCTTATTTCACAACAAAGCACAACACTTCTGAAGTTTGTATATTGAAATTCAAGGGAAAAAAACAAAAAATCAAATTAGAGAAAGATCTGAGTCTTATTTTTTCTAACCACCACTTTGAAACATAAGAGTTGAAAAAATGTTTGGAAGACAAACTTTTGTAGGTCACACAAAAAATTCTCTTCCCGTGTATTATACGAGAGAGAATACAAGCACTACTACACAATGATGGTATTCCATAGTCGTTTCGCGATCTCATTCATACTGATAGAGTTGCCAAAGTCAGGGTTTCTCTACAAAAAACTTTTGATTTGATCAATAATTCTAAAATGTTCTTTCTAATAATGAACAAAAATTGATTCTCCTTTCTCTCTAATTGAGCTTGGTCGGTATACGATATCGGCTGCTATTTGTGTTACGAATGTATTCGCTCATTTAAACTCGTGTTTTCGAAGAGAAGGAAGCCCTCTTGTCCACAGCACATAGCATACTGATTAGATACTACTGCTGAAGAAGTGGTCTACGACCTTAAGTGAAAGACCTCAAATACAAGTGTGCCAGAAATCGTGATGGTATTGTAATTTTACCACTAATACTATCGCAACGATAACACAGCAGTGAATCAACACCGAAAACTCATTTCAGTTACCAGTGCTTTTTATGCCAAGCTTTTATTTTCACGGTTTTATAAATAATAACAATGTCTTCGTTGGACTATTAAAACAGAGCTGCGCAAATCACTTAAGCGGTGAACCAATACAACAAACATGTTTAGATGTGTTTGTATGTATCTGGGTATATGCATAATTCATTCTCTTTCGGTATGAGTGGTAACCGCGTGGATGGGAGAAATGTGAATACGCACTTTTGAGGCTACCATTTCTCCAATACAGAATTCTACTTGATCATGATCATCGCAGAGTGACAAGCCTACCAATACTGTGTACTACTGAGGCAACGGAACATATATGAAAACTCTTCTGTTTGTTTGATTTATTGAAAATTGACTTATCACAAATATTCATGATAACACATATCAAAATGCCATTATTAGTGAATAATATTTTGATTTTGGAAAAAACATATTTTGGTTCTGGAAGTATCAAAGCATCTAAAATGAAAGTGACCCATTTTTTCTACATTTATTGTCTAAAAAACTGACATAGTATATTAGTGTTGTTCAAACAAATTAGCCGCACGTTCCTAATTTTTGAGCATGGAAGTTTTAATGCATATTTGACTACATAGTACAAAATATAGATATTACGCTTTCGTACAATAGATAAAGTACACAAGAATACTTTACCATTTGGTACTTCAAAGTTATTCAATGCATAAGAATTTTCGTTACAGAAAAAAATGTTTTTTATTGACAATACTACATGCGACAAAATTTTATGTTGACGTCAAAAGAATGGTTTGGTTCCAATGTAAATCTTAACTATCACAGTACGACGCATGTTTTTTTCTCGTTCCCTGGCGAGCCTTATACGGGTCTGAAAGAGGGCCTCAAACAGAGCTTCTGAAGCAGGGTCCGAGGGGTAAAATTACCCCCAGGAATCAATTTCCTGGAGGTCTATCATTACATCCTGGAGGTCTGTATTTACATCCTGGAGCTCTATAATTACATCCTGGAGCTTTGTAATGATATCCTGGAGCTTTATAATTACATCCTGGAGCTCTATAATTACATCCTGGAGCTCTATAA